TCGTTTCACATCCTCATCTGATTCTAACTTGAACCTCTGGCAGTTCTCTGTCAATGTAAGTTTGCAGCCATTTTTAAATATCTTTAGCAAAATTTTACTTGCATGAGATATTAATGTTACTTTCCAGTGATTCCAAATTCCAGTAGGTCAACTCTTTGGAATGAGCACACATATGGATCTGTTCCAGTCAGTTGGTTAGGTAGTTTCTTTCCAAATCTTGGCATAGATGAGTAAGTGCTGCCAATGCTGTATCAGTTTGTTGAAAGAAAATGCTGCCCATTTGATCCCAAATGGTTGATTGCTCTAAGGGATGTATACCCTTCCCCTATAGATACGTCTGCTGTTTAACTGAAAATTGAGCCATGGAACTGAGGTCAGTTCCAGGTCTTGAGGATGACTAAAAGCTGTAGTCTTGAAGGTTCCAACAGTCTATCCAGTTTTTAAGGCTGGCCTTTTTTTATTTTTAATGATTTTGAGTTTCATCCCATATTTTTCTGCCTTTGTATCCAGGATCTTCTAATGTGATCCCTTTCAGAGTAGTTCTGGTCTCAGGGTTGTAGAGATTGATGTTTGCATGTTCCATTAGTTTATTGGAGTTGTTGCTTTCATGAGTCTTTGATTTTCTTCTTTTCTTTGCTCCAGATGTGGTGGTGGTGGTTGTTGTTAGGTGCTATTCAGTGAGTTCCAACTCATAGCAACCTTATGCATAACAGAGCAAAACACTGCACAATCATGAGCCATCCTCACAATCGTTAAGCTTGAGCTCTTGCTGCTGTTGCTGTGCCAGCTCGTCTTATTGGAGGTCTTCCTCTTTTCCTCTGACCTTCCACTTTACCTAGCATGATGTCCTTCTTCAGGGACTTCGCGCTCTGGATAATATGTCCAAAGCATGAGAGACAAAGTCTTGCCATCCTGGCTTCCAAGGAGCATTCTGGTTGTACTTCTTACAACACAGATTTGTTTGTTTCTCTAACACTCCATGATACTTTTAATATTCTTATCCAACATCATAAATTAAATACATCAACTCTTCTATGGTCTTCCTTATCCACTGTCCAACTTTCACATACATATGAAGCTATTGAATGTGCTAGATCTTGGTCAGGCACATCTTAGTCCTCAAACTGACATCTTTGCTCTTGAACACTTTAAAAAAATCTTGTGCAGCAGATTTGCCTAAGGTAATATGTCGTTTGATTGCTTGACTGCTGCTGCCATGAGTGTTGATAGTGGATCCGAGCAAAATGAAGTCTTTGACAACCCCAATCTCTTCTCCATTTATCAGGATGAGAAGAGACCAATAATTGCTCCTTAGATGACCACTGATGAGCTTTTAAGACTCCAGTTGCTACTCAGCAATGCAGAATGTAAACCACTATGGATTATGTTGTGCCAGTTGATCTTGCTGCCCCCTGAAACGATAGTCTTGAACCCCCAGGCACAGGATTTACACCCTCAAAGTATTTGATCATGCCTATAAGTTTCTGTAATTTTATGAGTCAGGCTGCCAACCTCAAGGTCAGCAGTTTGAAAGTACCAGCTGTTCCCTTGGAGAAACATGCGGCTTTCTGCTCCCATAAAGATTTACAGCCTCAGAAACCCTGTTCAGGGTCACCATGAGTGGGAACCGACTCCACGGCACATAACAACAACATGCTTCATTAGGAAGACCCCTAGCGAGACGGATTGGCAAAGTGGCAGCATCAGTAGGCTCGAGTGTGGCAACGATTGTGAGGTTGGCCTAGGATCGGGCAGTGTTTCATTCTGTTGTGCATAGGGTCTCTATGAGTTGGTACTGACTCGATGGCACCTAACAACAACAACATAGTTCATTCTGGACTACTGGTGTGATGCTTCAGGACTGTAAATCACAAGGCCAGCAGTTTAAATACACCAGCTACTCCTTGGAAACTTTATACAGGGTCACTATGAGTCAAAACTGACTTGATGATGTTTCACAACAACATGCTTTATTATGTAGTCTTGGTGTGATGCTAACAACTATACCAACATACTCTCATATTTGCAGATAAATTTGTAGCATAATTGCATGCATATGTAGTTATACCCTCTGTGAAATCTATATGTATTCATGAGTATAGTCCCATTCTCTTTTCCACACCTGTTTAGCTTGTGTATGTCTATGCATCCATCTCTAGATTACTGTTACTTCATGATAGTATATATAATAGTATATATATATATGTAACTGTTACCTTTAACTCTTATACTCCCTCCATTGTCTTCCTTTGTCTTATTGTTTTTTGCTGACTTCACTCTTTGTTGTCTACCTTGTATTGGTAATTTACTCTCCCTTCCTCTTCTTTTGTGTAAAAGTCCTTCCCTGACTTTTTATAATTGTGGTCTCATACAGTATTTGTCCATTTGTCACTGACTTGTTTGATTCCACATGATGTCCTTTAACTTTATCCAGGTGTTCACTGCAATAAATTAATGTCTTTTCTAGCCATGTCTTTGTAACTCCCACCAAATAACATTTTCCCTTGATGGAGTCAGAAGTTGGGAGAAAATGCTGATATGAGTATATGATTCAGTTGTGATTGTTAACAGGGTTATTTCGGAAAACTTGGAACTCTAAGATGGGTATAAAATGAGTCATCTCGAAAGTGTTGTTAAGTGTCCTTGAGTCTGTTCTGACTCATAGCAATTCTATATAGGGTTTTCGAAGAGTGGCTGGTAAGTTTGAACTGCCGACCTTGCAGTTCAAACTGACCTTGAGGTTGAAAGTCCTTATCCTATGGTACCACACCATGACTCCACACAATCACAACAATGGCTCATTGCAAATAAAGTCTCTTGATGAACAAAAGTTTTAATTTTATGTGGTCCTATTAATTTATTTTGTCTTTTGCTGTTTGTACTTTTGTTACTATATTAGATAATCCATTGTTGAAAGTTAAGCCTCAGAGTGTTGCCCCTGATTTTCTCTAAAAATTTTATAGTTTTAGTTTGCACAATTAGGCTCTTAATTAATTTTGAATTTGTTATTGTATGTGGTCTGAGGCAAAGATCCTTTTTTTCATTTTTCTGCATGTGGAAATTGAATTTTCTAGCACCATGTGTTGAAAGAGCCCTAGTGGTACAGTGGTTAAGCACTCAGTTGCTACCTGAAAGACCAGTGGTTTGAACCCAGCAGTCACTCTGTGGGAGAAAGATTTGGCAGTTTGCTTCCATAGAGATTATTGCCTTGGAAATTCTATGGGTATTTCTACTCTGTCCTACAGGGTCTCTGTGAGTTGAAATTGACTTGATGATAGTTGATTTTTTGGTTTTTATTTATTTCCCCAATGACTAGACTTCTGTCAAAATTCATTTGACTATAGGTGTGTGGGTTTATTTTTGGACTTTGAGTTCTGTTCTATTGTTCTTTGTGTCTGTTGCTAACCAGGACCATAGTGTTTGGATTACTGTAGCTATTTATTGTATGTTCTAAAATCAGGAAGTGTGAGTCTTCTTTGGTCATCTCTTTTAACATTGTTTTAGCTTTTCAAGGCCTCTTACCATTCCGTATAAAGTTGAGGATTGGTTTTTTTGATTGTGTAAAGAAGGCTGTTGGAATTTTTAGTAGGATTGGTTTGAATCTATAGATCACTTTGGGTAGTATTGACATCTTAACAATATTAAGTCTTGTAACCCATGAGCATGAAACAGCTTTTCATTTATTTTATTATTGTTGTTGCTAAGTGCTGTCAAATAAGTTTAGACTCATAGCGACCCTCTATAGAGTTTCTGAGGAAAAGCTGGTGGGTTTTAATTGACGACCTTGTGATTCCCAGTCTAGTGCTGATCCTACAGCACCACACCAGGAGTCCTCCATTTATTTAAATCTTCCTTAATCACTTTCAGCAAAAGAAAAGGCATATAATATAAATATAAGGTCTGTAGAAGTAGTTCTTAGCCTCTGGGAGAGGAATATCGTCGAGGTGTGTAGGAAGAGCTAATGTAATTTGAAAATATCCTCCAGAGGGTTCTGTATTCTGGATAACATCCTCCCTGTCCCTTTGAGAACTACTCATATATGTCATTTAGAATTTTTTGTCAGCATGAAATTCATAGACTTAAGAATTTAATTGGATCTATGTAAGAATTTGTGGTGCTTTAGTCTTTATGATAACAACTACATGTGGACCCTAATTTTTTTAATTAAAAAAAAAATCAAGATGATTGTTGAAAAACAATTATTAGCTTAATGATCTATTTTATGTACAAAGGGACTTATAAATTTTTTGGGGAAAATGTAATTAAAAGATAATGGAAGTTTTATATGAACTTTTTATAGCTCCCTCATGTGTATATTATATTCTGTCTACCTTTTGGAAGCTTAAAGTTATCAACTTTGTAAGAAATCTGTAGAGATGCGAGAACAGTACATTCTTTCCAGCTTAAAATATATTCAGATAAAGTATACATAAACAGAACAATTATGTAGTATGTCACATAGTACCAGAATTCTATGTAATTCTAGAAAAAGATTATTCTAGGAGAGCAGCGTTGTTCAGACAGTGGACCTTGGTCCATTTATAGCTCATGAGTTCAATTTGATGACTCACAACTAATGGATTTATTTTTGTTTTTCAGATGGTCTAGAATAGACTATAAAATACTAGAGTGTACTGCATACAGTAAGGTTAAGTACTTGTGAAACTAAAATTATGTATGTATGTACTGAGTTTGAAGGAAAATATTTTTTTCACTGTGGGTTTGCTATCAAAAGGGTTGGAAATCCACTGTTTTAGAGAAATAAGATGTTCTTTTAAATGGACACCTAGACATATAAATCTTATATGTCTGAAAAATCTGAAAAAATTCTTAATTTCATCTTTAGCATTCATGCATAAACTTTTATTAACTAACCACACACACTACACACAAAAAATATATTGTTTATGTATGCATATATAAATATACACGTGTATATGCACACAGATATGTTTATACATATATATATATATATATACTTCCCCCTCCCTTCTAAATAGGTGCAATGGATGAGCTTCATAGTCTGGATCCCAGAAGGCAAGAATTATTGGAAGCTAGATTTACAGGTGTTGCAACTGGGAGCACTGGGAGCACTGGCAGTTGCAGCGTTGGAGCTAAAGTGAGTACATTTGTGACGTTTATTAAAACTTCTGCAATGTATTAAAAAGTAAAATGAGTGTTCATTAACCTGATTTCTAATGTAGCATAATACATTTCAGGAATGTTATGATATAGTACAATATGAGGGGCTTCAAAAAGTTCATGGAAAAATTCCCATCGTTTAAATATATTTTTCCACAAACTTTTTGAAGTCCTTTCATGTCTCAGAGGTAAAAGGATTTTGATATGCCTTTTTCCCATTTTTATAATTTCTTTACCTTTTCTGTTTTTTTGTTTCTACCTTGCCCCTTTCACCCATATTACAATCTGTATCACTAATCAACCACTTCTAGCTGCTGCATAAAGCTTAGTAATGTATCTTTACATAACATCTTCCTGTGGTAGACTCATAGACACCAGAAAACCAGAAGAACTGTAGAAAACATCAAAGACATCATATATGAAGAAAATAAAAGATTATTAAAAATAAAATGATGAAGTGAAATAGCTGAACAGAAGATAAGGTAGCTCAAGAAGATAAGGTAAAGTATGTTGAAATGTGGAAAGCTAGAGTTAGAAAAACAAAATGGAACACAGTCTGCATTTATCAAAGCCCAAAGAACTGAAGCAAAAATTCAAGCCTTGAGTTGGAATACTGAAGGAATCTATGGGTAAAATAGGAATGTCAAAGAAACTATCTAAAGAAGATGCAAGAAATACACAGAAACACTGTACTAAAAATTATTCGTTGGTGTTCAGCCATTTCAGGAGGCAGCACATGATTAAGATCTACTGCATTGACAACACTGCACAAAAATAAGACTTGAGGAATGGCCAGATTACCAAGTGGGATGTTTTTGACAAACGGATACAACACTGCTAGGCAGTTGAAGAGTTCCATGTTCACATTCATTCAAAAGAAAGGCTGTCAAATGAACTGTAGAAATTTTTGGAAATAAATTTTTTATTGGTGTGGCACTGTAGGATCAGCACTGGACTGTGAACCACAAGATCAGCAGTTCAAACCCACCAGCTGACCGTGGAAACCCTATACAGGTTCTCTATGAGTTGCAACTGACTCGATGGCATTTAACAACAACATTAGTATCTGGAGGAAGACTTACTAACAAACTGTGATATGCAGATTATACAGTCTTCTTATGGAAGCAAAGAGGACTTAAGATACTTACTGATGAAGACCAAAGATTACAGCCTTTCGTATGGATTGCACTTCAATTCTAAGAAAAGGAAAATCCTTGCAACTGGACTAATAAATAGCATTATGGAAAACAGACAAAAGATTGAAGTTATCGAAGACTTCATTTTGCTTGGGTCCACAATCAACACTCATGGAAGCAGCAGTCAAGAAATCAAATGATGCATTTTGCATTAAGCAAGTCTGTTGTAAAAGCCCTCTTTCAAGTGTTCAAGAGCAAAGGTATCAGTTTGAGGACAGGTGCACCTGACCCAAGCGATGGTATTTTCTGTTGCCTTATATGCATGTGAAAATTGGACAATGAATAAGAAAAGAGTGATGCATTTGAATTATGGTGTTGGAGAAGAATATTAAAAGTACCATGGACTGCCAGAAGAACAAACAAATCTGTCTTGGCAGAAGTACAATCAGATTGCACCTTAGAAGTAGGATGGTGAGATTTCGTGTCTTATACTTCTGACATGTTATCAGGAGGGTCCTATCCTTGGAAAAAGACATACTTGGTAAAGTGGAGGATGAGGGAAAAAGAGGAAGTCCCACAACAAGATGGGTTAACACAGTGGCAGCAACAATAGGCTTAAACATGACAATAACTAAGAGGATGGCACAGGACTGGGCTGTGTTTCGTTCTGTTGTGCATAGGATCACAATGAGTCAGAACAGACTGGATGGTACCTAACAGCAGTTTAATAATCATTAGTATCCCATCCTGGCAAAATTCTGCTGAAGGTAATTTTAAAAAGCTGTACATCACCAGAGACCTGCCACAATTTCAGGCTAGTTCAGAAGAGGATGCAGAATAAGGCATAATTGTCAAGATCTTAGCCAGAAAGGTATTTACCTTTGTTTTATTAGACTGCGCAAAGGCATTTGACTATGGGGATAAGAAATTATGAATAACATTTTGAAGAATCAGATTTTAATTGTGCTCAAGCAGAAGAACCTGTACATGGATCAAAGGCAGTTGTTTGAACAGAACAAAGGGCTACTATGTGATCAAAATTGGAAAAGGCATGTGGCAGTGTTGTATGCTTTCACATTACTTATTCAGTCAAGAAATCCAGACTATATGAAGAAGAATGTGGCAACAGGATCGGAGGAAGACTTATTAGCAGTCTGTAACATGCAGGTGAGAGAACTTTGGTTGTCTAAAATGAAGATGATTTGAAGCAATTACTGAAGAAGGCCAAAGACTACAGTCTTTAGTATGGATTACACCTGAATATGAAGAAAACAGAAATCCCCGTAACTGTGGAGTGATAAACAACATCATGCTAAATGGGAGAAAAAATAAAGTTGTCAAAGATTTCATTCTGTGTGGATGAACAGTTACTAGTTATTGTCCATGGTAACAACAGTCAAGAATTCAGCCTATTGTGTAGGGCAAATCTACTGCAAAAGATTTCTTTACAGTTTAAAAAGCAAAGATGTTACTTTGATGTCTGAGGTACACCTTACCCAAGTCATGGTCTTTTCAATTACTTCATATGCATGCAAAAATTGGAAACTGAAAAAGGAAGACAGAAGAATCAATGCACTCAAACTGTGATAATGGAAAAGAATCTTGGATAGACTATGGACTGCCAAAAGATTAAACAAACAATCTTAAAAGAAATGCAACCAAAATGTTCCTTAGAAGAAAGTGTAGTTGAGACTTTGACTTGAACTCTTTAAACACAGCATCAGAAAGAACCATTCACTAGAAAAGGACTTACTTGGTAAAGTTAGAGGGTCAGTAAAATGAGGGCAGCTGTCAATGAGATGGATTGACACACTGATTGCAACAATGCACTCAAACATACCAACACAGGACCTGGAAACATTTCATTCTGTTAATACATTAGGTCACTGTGAATCAGAGCTGACTGCATGGCAGTCAACACCAGGAGCAACTTTCCGCTATCTCAAACTGCAGTGAAAAATCCTTATACTTGTTCTCTTAAGGAACTTACAGCATTTACTTAAGAGCGTGCATGTAGGCAGTCCCTAGCTTCCTAAATGTGTATTAAGGAACTTGTAAGGGCTTCGAATCAATTCTGCCAGGTTCAGTCACGGCCAAGAAAGTGTCATCAAAACCAACCTGAATTTTTAAAGTTGCAGTGAACCAGAAAGGTAGATAGAACTGGGGAAATTTAGAATAGAAACTGTGCTAGAAACGTCATCTCCCTCTTGAAAAAGAATGGCACCTGCAACCAAACCTCTTGCTTTTGGGTTTTGACACTGTACAAAATAGTGCTACCCCGCATGGCAATCCCTCACTCAAAGATGATGGCCAACCACACTGCTTTGAATGTGTTCTCCCTGCAGTACTTCAGCTTGATTATCACTCATCAGTCTCCAGAAAGGCTTTGCTATACCTCTTCCATTTCAGGCCCGTGTCGTATACTGTGCCAAATCTTCCAAACTAAAATTTTGACCTGTTTTTGTTTGTTTCATTGGTCAAGACAAGTAGGAGTTGTATAAATAGGAGGTATCAGACATTAGTAACCCAGGGTCTGCCTGTATTCCCAAAATAGAATTGCTAGTTCATAGGGTATGTATGTTGTTGCTGTTAAGTGTCATTGTGTCAGTTCTGAATCATGGTCATCCTGTATAGGACTTTCAAGGAGTGAGTTTGAACCGCTGGTGAATTTGAACCACTAACCTTGCAGTTCAAATCAACCTTGCATTATCCTATAGTGTCACACCAGGACTCTATACGGTATGTGGAGACTTGATAAAATTGTGTGAGATTGCTATACAGAACAGTTATACTGATTTGCAGTTTAGCAGAATGCATGAGTATTTCTACATTTCCCACATCCTCAAATACTCTGTCATTATCCACATTCCTAATTTTTGATAAGCACATGATATCTTTTTGTTATAATTTTGCCACCAGTTAACGTGAATGTTCATATGCTTATTAGCTTTTAGTGATTGTTGACTTTTATATTGATCATATTCATTGCCTAATTTTTTATGAGATTGCTTTCTTTTTTGAACTGATTTCTAAACTTCCTGGTATATTCTACTTACTGATTACTCGTTGGACTACTGGCATGATGCTGTAGGATCAGCACTTAATCACAAGGTTGGCAGTAAAAATCCACCAGGTGCTCCTTGGAAACTGTAGTAAGAACCAACTGGATAGCATTTAACAACAATAACAATTACTTATTGGACTCCTGGTGTAGCTCTGTTGGATCAGCACTGGACTTTGAACTACAAGATTGGCAGTTCATATCCACCAGCTCTTCCTTGGAAACCCTGTTCAGAGTTGCTGTGGGTCAGAACCGACTTGACAACAACAATTACTTGTTAAGTTTTATACATTGCAGATAATTTCTGTGCCATTTTGATCATGTGCCTAATAACTTTGTTTATAGCTTCTATCATTGTACAGAAGTAGTCATCATTATATAGGACTCTAATTAAAAAATCAAACCAATTTTTTTGCACCACTGAATATTTTATTAACTGTATATTTGGAATCAACTCAACAGCACGTAACAATAGCAGCGTATTAAGAAAAATGGTCATTCCCATGGACAAGGACATAGTCACCGATGTTTACAGTTGAGAGTAAAAGCGTCCAGCTGATCCGAAGTGAGGGGAGACACACAAGAACCCCCAAACTTGCAGATAGTACCCATTTGACCTAGTTTCAATGGCTTGATGATCAGAACTCTACTAGAGGAAGATAAAAATATTTTGATAAAAGAAATAAGCGTACATTGCTACAATTTGATGAACTTGACCTATACTTAATGGATGTAGTAGCTTAAAATACCACTGAGAGGGAAGCAGTCTTCACATCAAGG